GAGTAGTTGTTTGCACCTCTAGATTAGGATTGGCACTGGTTTTAGCTGCCCGTAGGGAGTTTGGGGGTCATTTCACAAGAATTTCATCAAAAATTTACCAAATTCATCGGTTTTTTGCCATCTTTGCATGCACATATCTCCGAAACCGTTTGAGCTACAGCGCCTAGATTTTTCAGGTAATTATCCTGCAATTAGTACTTTCCATGAAAAATATTTGAACCAAATCAATGAGGTTCACCAAAAGGGGCCTAGGGTCGCAACCCCCTCTCTGGACCCGTTTTTGCGACCCTAATCGATTTCGTTCAAATTTTCTACAAGTAAAGAACTTGCTAAATTATGATTTCCCTCAAATTCTAGGCGCTGTAGCTCAAACGGTTCTTGAGATACGTGCATGTAAAGTTGATAATCAGGCTAAAAAGTTTAGCGAATTTTCAATTAAATTCGCGTAAAACGACCTTCAAACTCCCTACGGGCAGCTAAAACCTATGCAAAACCTAATCTAGGGATGAAAACAACAACACTTTGAAGCGCCATTGAAATCTGAGTGTATCACCGGAAAACCTTCCCTTGTGAGTCCTAGACAGACCCAATATACCCCCCACCCACACAGTCGTCTCCCACGCACGTCGGCCGCGGTGAGGGCGCGCGATGGGGCACTGCGGGAAGCCCTTTCCCCGGGGCCACTCGGGCGGCCACCTACCTCTCCGAAACTGGCCCACAAGATGTAGAATTTACAGCAACGCCGTGTTCCGGAAATACTAAAAAATCGGGTGCGGTGCTCTTCACCTTGTGTTGGAAACATGAGAGAAGGGCGCCCTGAGTACTCACCTTCTGGGACGCGAGTTTTGGTCTTGTGGATCACTAGTGTCGCGGAGCCCCGAGAGGCACCCGCGCGAGGCTACACCGCGCACCGCGCGCCGACCACTCCCCCTCTCCACAGAGGCCAGCTTACCGCGCCCCGCTTCAAAATTTCATTTGCTTTTATGAACGTTGACTTTTACAGCTATGCAATTTCCGAAAATAAATATTTAATTCAAGTTCTTCTTCAATTTATATTTTTGGTGAAATAAATTTCATTTTCTTGTTATATCAGTCATTTCAATATTACTGAGAACAGATGCAAATCATTTTAGTCTTATGGTTGAATGGAATGCGCAGCGGCTACCTGTTGTGGTAGTCCAAAGGCAAGCGCAACTGTTCCTATTTTGTTTCTCAGAAGTCTTACTACGATGCAAGTGCTGTGAAGCATATCTCATTTTGGAAGGTATTGATGCTTTCAATTTTCCCTTTACTCTGCCCAATAATAGCCAGCTGATATTGACATCATGGGCAGACTAAGAGGGCTTGTTGATACAACAGCGCTTGGCTTTCCAATAATGGACTGCGTTCGGGAGACAATATAAACTTTGCGTACTGGAGCAGTCGCTAACTGTTGAGAAGAAGTCTAAGACACCAACGAATACATGGCAGTACATTTAATGGTATGAGTATAAAACAACTATCTAAACATCTCATTAAACTCACTTGGACAAAACTGTTGCTTGGAGTTCTGACTAATAGTTTGGTCTTAGTACCTCCTAAATTCTCTCTCTGCAACAACTCGTTGCCAGATAGAACTCGCAAGGGAGTCATGATCTAGAAGTAAGACAGT